AGGTCAACGACCCCTCTGAGGTGCTCTTCAACCTTCAAATGTCTATAGGTTAAATCGCTGATGAATTGCCACACGCTTCTGAAGGGTGGAAATGCATAGACACTGAGATTGCAACCCTGAGCATAGCAAATCATGCACAAGTTCCACAGAATTCAGTGAGACTTATCCATGCATTGCAGATGGTAGATTTGCAAGTGTGTGTGTGTGTATGGTGTGTATGTGTAGTAAAGGTAGGAAAGACAGAATAGAGAGCAAACCAATATTTATTACAACCAAAGACTTAAAATAGGGTGAAGTAAATTAAACAAAAAACATAATTGTTTTGCATTCAGTATGTCATAGCTTTTTGCCCCATTCTTTTAATTACAAATTGTTTTAGCTGATTTGAATATTGTATTTTTACTTTGTTATAACCCACCCTAGGATGTTATTGTGAAGGCCAAGTATGCCACATGGGAGGGACGCTGAACTTCTGCTTTGCGTGCAGAAGGTCCCAAGTGCAACCGCTGGCATTTCCTGGTAGGGCTGAGAGAGACCCCATCTGAAACTATAGAAAACCAATGCCAGTCACTGTAGATCAGCTTCCCCCAACCTAGAGCCCTCCAAATGTCACTAGGCTGCAACTCCCATTGTTCCTGAAAATTGGCCATGCTGACTGGGGCTGATGGGAGTTGGGAGTCAAACAACATCTGGGAAGCCCCAATTTGGAAGAGGCTAGGTAAACAACATTAAACTAGAAATGTCAATGGTCTGACTTGATATACATTTCTGAGTGCAAGCTTTGGCAGGACAATTCTGGGGTCAAGGGGACATGCCCAGTTCAGAACAGGAGGCTGTGTTCACCAGCTTCAAATCCCTAATGATGTGGAAGGCGCTGTTCTGTTGATCAGATAGAGTCAATGGGACTTACTTCTGAGTATACATGTATAGCATTGCTCTGCAGATCAGGAAATCCCCTCTCTGCTGGTTGTGTGGTGGGGTGCAGAACTACTCAAAAGTAATCAGAACCACTCAAAAGTCAATTAGCTGTGGAACCTAGAAGTGGCAGCTCAATAGTCCAAGGTTGTGTACCACCTGACCCCCATCAGCTGCTGGTGATGGGAAGGAGAAATGAATAAGTCCATATTTTCAGGGAACCTGTTGTTTTATGATTCTGCAGATGTAGATTGAATTTTAGAATTCCACATTGAAATCTGCCATTTGCTTAATGTTTTTCCCCCTGCCTGTTTAGCACCGGTAATATGAAAGGCATATTTACGTATAAATTTTAAAAAATATTTTAAAAATTAATCCCTAACCTTCATGAATATTGCATTGTTGACCCATTTATTTAACAGCTTACTAGAATACGGCCTAGTGCACCTCAACCATCCAATGCATTTTTAATTCAGCCCCATGGAGAGCAAATGCTCAGTTTCACCTGCGTAACAATACTGGACCATAAGCAAACTTATGAAGACCAACCTCAGTCAAGACGCAGTGCTTGCATCTCTGGGTGGTATGCTGTTGTAGGCAGCTGTTCCTTCCCTCTGTATATTCTGAGGCAGGGGTGGACAACCTACTGTCCACTGCCTAATTTCAAAAAGCCCTCTGCAAGTGAGTAGTTAGACTTCTAGCAAGTTCTGCCCTTCTTTCTGCAGGGAGTCTGCTAGGTGGAACAGGAGCGGGAGAGATAGAAGAGCAGCAAAACGAGAGAGAGAGAGAGAGAGAGAGAGAGAGAGAGAGAGAGAGAGAGAGAAGGAAGTAAGGAGTGGTCCAGCCCTTTGCTTTTGCTCATTGTTGACATGCAGTCTGAAACAGACTGCCCCATCTATAGTGACTACACATCATTGGACTTCTGATTCTAAGTTGAAAGCTGCAGTTTGCAGAGTTCCTTTGATCTGTTCCAGATAACCCACCATTCAGCTTCTCTGGTCCTCAGTCATGCAGCACTTTATTAATTCCCTTTGCAAGAACTATGCTGTCAGTGCACGTGATTCTGTGTGGCTCTGTACATACTTATTTAGAAAACAACGGGAAAGAAAACAATGGGAAAGAAAACAGTGCACTTTTTGAACTTTGGCAAAGAACTTCAGGACTTTCCAAATCTGTCAGAGTTGTCACATTGACACAATAGTGTGAGACTAGTGGGGAAATTAGCATTGGTCAGAGATTCCATTGTTTTACACATAAAAACTTAAGTGTTATATATATTCCAACATTTTAATTTTTAAATGTTCATCTTTCTCTTTCAGTGCTAAGGGGAAAAATATTCTTGAAATATAAAGGAACTGCCCTATGGTCAAAGATAGTCTTAACTACCTGTCAATCAAAAGGAGAAATTTGTTGAGACACTTAATTACAAGATAATGTAGTCATCAAAATGTCGTTGTGGTAACTGACAGCTCATTTTGGACTGAAAGCGGAGAGCACCCTCCCCTGAGGTCAGAGATGTTCTGAGGTTAACTCAGTAATGACAAGTCCTTTATTATCACATTATGACATTGAAAAAAAATTGCAATTATACTAATAAATTAATAACAGTAATAAAATGACAGTCATAATTGCATAATATACATGTTGTCAACTACATTTTGGTGACATGGTTTGAATTTTTATTTTAGCAGCGTTATCTTATATGAAGTCATTCCAACTTAGCACAAACATTCCTTGCTTCTGAAGCTTTGGGTGGTTGCACTTTCAGCAGCTTTTAGGCAAGAAATAGGAACAAAGAATGTGAACATTTTGAGGCCCCCGCCAAATAATAAATGTCCGAGGCCTTTCCCAATTGCTTTTCTTCCAAACATGTGTATTTATAGATTTTGCTCTGAGAATTCCTATTCCATTATATTCTATCCCTTGATTTCCCTTCTTTTTATTAGCTGGACTTAATCTGCATACAAGACTGAGTGTGGCTTAGTCACAACTCCTTTTTATTGATACCATTCACCAGTAAAATATATAAAATAGTGAGTTCTTAGAGCATATATGGAGTGCTTCTTATTCAGTGTTGCATAATCATAATCAGCCCCCTCAACACGCTTATGATTAGGAGAAGGGCTTCCAAAGAAGAGGGCATGGTTTCAGAGCATGCGAAATAAAAACCCTTCTTCCCACTCATTCATTCTAGGGATTCTTTTGAACTCCTCCCATCTGGTTTTGAATCTTGATCTTGGAGTTCCAAGTTGCCTGGTCTTTTCTATGGAGTGATAGCAGTACTTTAGGGACCTGTCATTATTCTGTGCAGTTTGCTACAGCTAATTTGTTCAACCCATTCTCCTCCCCCAGCCCAATGCACAGAAATGCTTGCACACACTGATAAAAGGGTAGCTGAACAAGGCAACTGGATGCGCCTCTACCTATATGTGCTATGTTTCATCAGCCATGAGCATTTCTAAGAGAGGAGCAGAGCGCAGAGTAAATGAAAGGAAATGCAAGTGGTGGTAGACTATACATGCACAATTTCTAGAATTAATTCTAGAAATTGACCATGTTCAGCCAGAATGTTAGCATGTAGTAGTGAATGAACCCATAGAATGGAACCAGAGATGTTCATCCCATTTTCATTCCTCCTCCTCTGTGCCAATGTCAGGATTAACACTTGATTCGTTGAGCAACTAGTGTTTTCTTCCAACAATCTCCAAGGAACTACCATGCAGTGAACGGCACTCCAGATGTGCTTGGACAACTATCTCTGATGACTGACAATGCTTGTTGAGGGCTGATGGAAGTTGGCATGCCATATATACAGGATAGAAGTGAAGAGACACAGCTTAGAACTGATCAGGCCTTGAGAATAAGTTTAACACATGTTCAAAATTGCACCACCTCACAGTTGATGCAGCACTCCATGTGGGGTGCATTGCAGAAAGTCCTTGTTCTGTGTAGAGATGTAAAATTTCCAAAAATTTTGAAGCCATGGTGGAAAAACGTTTCCCCCCGGAAAAAATGGAAATTTTGGAAAAAATGGGAAATTGAAAAAAATTGAAAAAAAGTTCAGTGTGGAGTACCTTTACAAATCGTGTGAAACGCAGTGTATATAAAAGTATTGTGCTTGCAATAAAACAGGTAATCACCCCCCTTTCCCTCAAAAACAAAAAAAGCAAGAAACCATCAACATAAAGAATAATCAGATTTGCCCCTTACCACCAACAGCAAATAAAGTTAAGGTCCACCTCAATATTTAAGCTCCATAGAAGGTCTACCCTTTGAATAGTGCTTTAAAAACAACAACAGAAGACACAACATATACATGCAATTTATTCTATCTCATTTTCTGAACTACTGCTATCATTTTCCATTTCTTCTTCCTCTTCCTCTTCATCATTTTTCTCATGGACTTCTCAAAAGCAGTTTTTTGGGGAAAACTGTCCCCCCTCCCCATTTTCCCGTTCCCCCCCCCAGGCCTTCCCATCTCTACTTTGCATGCCAGGCCCAGAAGGAACCAACATACTGTACAGTTACTAAATAGTATGTTGTGCTAAGGCTCAAACTCTGTTTGAAAGGAAAAGGAGTGTGTGTGCTTTTTAAATTGAATTTGTTATTATATATTATAAACCACATGATGGTAAGAGAGCTTCTAAACAGTTTACAAAAATATACAACACAACATTAAAATGATTGATAAAACACAGTTAAAAGCAGGTACTTAAGAGTATTCAAAAGATGATTAAAGTCAGCAGTGGTCAAAAGGAAGTACAGTGGTACCTCGGGTTAAGAACTTAATTCGTTCTGGAGGTCCGTTCTTAACCTGAAACTGTTCTTAACCTGAGGCACCACTTTAGCTAATGGGGCCTACCGCTGCCGTGCGATTTCTGTTCTCATCCTGAAGCAAAGTTCTTAACCCGAGGCACTATTTCTGGGTTAGTGGAGTCTGTAACCTGAAGCATCTGTAACTCGAGGTACCACTGTAAATCACATGCAGCTTCTACATGTTCAGATGGGCTGGCCCTAATGAAAAGGTTTTGAGCAGTTGCCAGAAAGAGTACAGTGAGAGCACCTGCCTGGTGTCAGTCGGCAGGGAGCTCTGAAGTGTGGGTGCTGGAAGGCCTGGGGAAAAATGGGGGGACGGGACAGGTTTTTTCTGTCCCCCCCCAAGCCATTTTTCGGGGGAGGGGGTGGCTTTGGGGGGAAACAGAAAAAAACCTGGTCCCCCCCCCCAATTTTTCCGGTTTTTTTCCAGGCCTTCCCATCTCTAGTTCTGTGCTTTGCCCAAATCAGTCTTCCCAGTTTTCTATAGTTTTATTCCCCTCTGAAAGCAGTTCCCATTGTTTCCTGAATCATCCTTAGGGCATTTGAGGACTTCTTTTAAATTTAAGGCATTGTGGGATTTTGAGTTCATCTTACTGTCACAAGGTAGGCAAAGGTGGTGTATGTATTTTCCTTTACAGTAAACATTTCTCCAGTAACCTTCAGCTTACCCAGATGCCCACACTTTTTGATCTGAAAAAAGAGGAGTGAGAGCCAAGGGCTATTACTGAAGGCACCTGGGATGGCTGCGGACTGGGGATGAATTGTTGAAGGGAAGAAAGGACACTCAAAAACACCTCTTGACCATCCCAGAAGTTAAAGTAAACACATAAAAACCCCACTCTCCCCCACCCATGAGAATTTCACTCCAGTTTTTAAATTCAATTTCTTTTCTCAATAAGAGGTGGAGAATGGTTGAAAAAAGAGCACCGAGCTAGCCCTTATGTTCAGTTCAGCAAAGGAAACGGCTCGTTGTGTCCACATAGTCACCTCCTCCATTGATGAGTATGGGGAAGCCATTGCAGATGCAGTGATGGAGCCCACAAGGACTCTAGGGCAATTAGCATTTTACAGCAAGTACTCAAAAGTAAATGATTTTTAACTTTGCTAACTGAAGGAAGAGATACAGCCACAAAGCCCTTGTAAATGTGCTTCTGCCTCTCCAGTTTAATGTCGGGAATTAGATTTGCATTGATGCCACTACACAAATGGAGTCCCGTTTCCCGTCTGCTAAATGCTTACAGGGGATAGTTTCTTACAGAGAGAACTTGGTGCGAGCAAGCTGGATTTTATTTTTATTATTATTATTATTTTTGCTTACTCAGAGAGGAAACGTAAGTGAAATTCTTGTTGACAGAGGGTCTCCTCTTGCTCACCTTGAAGTCTGTGCCAAAGGTCCTATTGATTTCATTGAGTAGCGCTGTCCACCTTTGTTCTGGCTGGATCAAGACATGCTATTGGTGACAAGTAAGCATAACTCATACCTGCCCTTGGGGCCAGCCCTACCATTAGACAGAGTGAGGCAATCAGTTGGTAGATACTGTGGGTGGGGGCAACAGCAGCTCCCCCCCCATGCTATTTCTCATGAGCCCCCAGCCATTGTCCTCTATGGGAGATTAGAGCTGTCATCAACCCCTTAAACTAGCCTTCTCCTGCAGATGCAGGGAAGGATGTTGTTGCACCTCTAGTGTTGAAGCCAGGCTACAGCTGCACTATACATTAAAAGCACTATTATACCTCTTTAAACAGTTGTGGCTTCCCCCAAAGAATCATGGAGCTGCAGTTTTTAAGGGTGTTAATTTCCTCTCACAGAGCTTTAACTCCCAGACTTCCTCAGGAAGCGGGATTAATTGCTAAACCAATCAGAGCTAGTGTATTCCCCCATACCCATCTTGGAGGAATGGAAGAGATCCAGACTCCAAAAGGATCCATTCCAATAAACGTCTGGAACACTCCTCCCCCCCCCCCCTTATCTCTGCAGTGACAACAGAGGGGCATTGGTGGCAGCCCTTTCCATTGTAGCTGAGAAGGGGAATCGCCAAGGCAGATCCCCTTCTCTCCCCTCTGGGAAGGAGATTTTCAAAATCCCATGGTCTCTGGAACAGCCTCTCAGCGACTATGGGATTGAAACCAGAATCTTAAACTTGGAAGATGGTACGGACTGTAGAAGTTCCTACTTTATGCAAAACACAATAGATCTTCAGAATAGAGATGATCCAGCCTAATGTCTGGATTTGACAAATAGCCAACTAAACTCTCACCCCCCCCCTTTAGTTTTCTCATCCTTTTGGCTGCATTTGCTGGACCGAATTTTCTTTCTGGTGGCATCTGCCCTGTTCACTCTCCTTTTTCTGACTTACATTATGCGATATCTCTGGGGTGCGCTTAAGAAAGGTCACCATCTGTGTACTTGGGGAGGGAAGAAGAGGAGATAGAGGTGCAACTCCTGGAACCAGGAGTTGAGGATTTTCTGATACTGAGCACAAATGCAAAAATGGCAGCATCCAGGGATTAATGAATAGCAGAAAGTGCTTTAATTTATTTGGAAGCAGTTTGTAAATGGTGTGGAGTGCAACACAAATTTCCCCCTTGGTGTATTTTATTCTGGAGAAAAGAACCTGAGCCCCTGGCCCTCAGAGAGATGAAATATATGATACATGACAATTGGCTGATGGAAGATCCCTTTCTTTTCAGCAGGAGGGGGGTGAGACAAGGAGACCTAGGCCTATAGCTTTCTTTTATGTTAATAGTAAAAGTTCTTATTCAGCTGCAGAGTGCCCTTTCTTTATTGCATAGCACAGCAGAAACCTGGTGTATTTGATGTGTTTTACGAAGCATGTGTATCTACAGATGGTGTTTTTGGAACATGTGAAATATCCAGAGTTTGGAAAGTTCATTTTACAAAGGAAATAGTGCTAGTTGAAGTTCAGCATGCATGTCAAAAAGGGAACTAATTCCAGTTCACGTTTGATAGAGTTACACCCACTCATAGCCACACCCCTTCTAAGATCATACAATTATAATTATACAACAATAATAATTGGGGGTGAATTGCAAATATCAACACACTCCAACTAGATTTTCAGCTAGATTTACAATTTTCTGTGCACACACTCTAGTTGGCTTGAATCAGCACAAAGAGTGAGGTGGCTTTTTCTTGGTGGCTGGAAGGCTCCCCTTTCATGCTGATAGGGTGGCTGTAAGACGCTGGAGGCTGGGACCCTGCTGCAGAAATAGTCATGGGTCTTCAATCTCTCAGTGACCCTAGACAAGTACACCTCTTCTGGAGAGCTGATGTCCATCCTAGTGTACAGTACTGAGATGGACTAGATTAGGCACATCCAACAGGTAAATCGTGATCTACTGGTAGATCACTGGATGTTTGTGGTAGATCACTGGTAGATCTCCCCCCGAAGAAGCTCAACAACTTTGGCTCCCCTAAAAAAGCTCAACCTTTTGCCCTGCACCCCAAAGAAACGTGGCTTTCTTCTCCCCTAAAAAAGCCCTACAACTTTGACCTGAACCCCCCAAAAGGGGGTAGATCACCTCCAGTTTTTAACTGTGAGTAGATCACAGCCTCTTGGGAGTTGGCCACCCCTGGACTAGATGGACTATGGGTGTGGCTCCATATCAGACAACTTTTATTCTTCTGTAGATCAGGGAAAATCAGTGGATGTAGTATATCTTGATTTGACTAAGTCTTTCAACAAGACCCACCATTATATTCTTGCTGTTAAACTGTGGGTTAGATTATTACACTTTTAGGTGGATTTGTAGCTGGATCTTGGACTGTATCCACAGAAGTTGCTCCTTGTCAACAAGTGCAGGGTTCTGTCCCAGGCCCAGTGCTGTTTAACAGGTTTAAGAATGACTTGAACAAAGCAGTGGAAATGATGCTTATCAGATTTTCAGGTGACACAAAACTGGGGTGATGGTTATAACTAGCATCTTAAGAAGTCAGAAACAGGATTCTAGGTGATCTTGACAGGATGGGGAACTGAGTCCAAGTGATAAAAATGATTTGTAATAGATAGAAATGTAAATTGCTGCATTTAAGTTGGAAGAACCGGGTATACAGCTACAGGATAGGAAACCCCTGGTTTGACAACAATTTGCAAAATGGATCTATTGATTTTCATAATATTGCCAGCTAAACATGAGACTGTGGTGTGAGGCAGCAGCTAAACGGACTGATGCATGTCTAGGCTACATCAATAAAAAATATGGTGTCCAGATCCTTGTTTGCTAATATCTATTGTCAAGTGTATCTTTTTAACCATGATGCTCAGGAACTTGCATATACAGTCGTACCTCGGAAGTCAAACGGATTCTGTTCCGAAAGTCCGTTCAACTTCCAAAACGTTCAAAAACCATGTGGTTTCTGATTGGCTGCAGGAAGCTCCTGCAGCCAATCAGAAGCCATGGAAGCCACGTTGGATGTTTGGGTTCCAAAAGAATGTTCGCAAACCGGAACAATCACTTCTGGGTTTGTGGCATTCGGGAGCCAAAACATCCGAGTTCAGGATCCAAGGTATGACTGTATTTAAAATGAAAACTGGATTCTCAGCTTATGATAAGAACTTTTAAGTTGCAAAAGATTTAGCAGGTGGCAGGTGGAAAGCCTGCCGTTCAGATGTGTGTCACTCCTTGGATAAAATGGGTCCTTTGTGTTTGCAGCGAGGCTTAAAAGAATGCCATTATTGCTTTCCTATATCTGTAAAACGTGCCGTAATAACACTTATTGAGAGTCATTTTTGCAAGGGTAACATTTGAAAGGGCCACTTAGCAGGAAAGATAACCCCCCTCCCAACACACCCACATGCAGGAAGAGCATGTGTCTGAGTCAGATGTCCCCAAAGCTTCATTCATTGTTGTAGAAATCATAATTGTGCAGTTGCACGAACCTGAAGTTCAGAGATGCTCCTTTGTACTTTTCCTTGCAACAAACAGCCCTTTTAAAGGTTACTTGTATGTTGTGAACAAATCCTTTTCTTACCCCTGTAGCTTTGTTTGGAGGTATATGATGTAGCATCCCTCTTGAAGCTAAGCAGGTCTAGGTCTAGTCAGTTCCTGGATGGGAGACCATCTGGATGCATGTTGCCTTGATTTACTTGGTGGAAGAAAGGTAGTGTGTTTTTGTACAGCTCTCACTGATTTCGGGGGGGGGGGGTGTCTCACAGTTATACACTGTGCCTCATGTTAGTGGGAGGATGTTGCCATCTCAATTTTCCAGTTCAGTGTCAGGATCTACTGACCACTGCCCCATGTGATGAGGTGCATGACTGCGACCTCTTGCTGAAGAGTCAAGAGCAACAGATTACTGCCCCCATCAGGTGAAATGCAAAACTGCATCCTCTCTGTAAACACCAGGAGATGTATTGACTACCCAATAGGCTGCATGTTGGTAGGAAGGGAATATATGAAAGCTTCCTGCCTCCATGGTGCTTTGCTTGAACAAG